TATGGTCAACCCCAGGACAAGGTATATTCACCATATCTTCTATTTATTCTACCTCTGACTGGAATACAAGGCTCATCTTATTAGTCTCTGCAACTAATGCTCGAATTAGAGCATAGTTCTGAAGTCAGCCACATCTGAATCACCATTTTCCTCTACTTGTAGCCAAATGACAAAAGAGCAACAGAAGCTACTCTAGGTATTTTAAAATAAAATTTTCATTTAAAAATTTAATTACAACCAATATTGAGACTTTATAAGTATTCAGAAACTTAACACTTTACATTTCTAGTCTCTACACTCAGTACTGTAAAATGAACAGCCTAAGAATGTAAACAAGCCTAAAAAGGTGTTTTAAAAAATTTTTATAACTATTAAAATTATGATGGAATAAATGCATATATTTGTATTTTTCCCTTATTATTGGTCATTTAATTCAATGCCACAGGCATTACCAATATTTTACTTAATTACTATGGTCTTTGTCAACTAATAATAATATAATAATATAGCAAAGAGAGATAAAGAACATTGAGGGTAATAAAGGCAGTAAAGAAGTACTGATTTTAAAAGTAGCATATAATAGACTTGAATGAACTGAGATCGAAATATAATCTCAAGATAGAGCAATATGTCCTTAAAAATAGTGTGCTTCAGTGAAATTGAGCTCCAGAGTAAATCTGGAAGGCTTCTGATATATTACTGAAATACATATAAAGGGAAACAGTTGTTGAAAGAATTATAGCAAGAGAGTATACTAAATTTCATATCAGTAGAATCAGTAGACTATGTTTATTACTGTAGCATTTAATACATACTGAGTATATGGTGAATGACCACTGAATTCATCTGAGACCTATCTCTAAATACAAGAGATTTCTGATAAGAAAAATGTTAAGACAGCAAAAGGGATAAAGTAGTAAATATTCAAATTGTGTAGATTTAAATTCCGTAAACTGACATCTCAATAATAAGTACATTTAGAACCCCCCCCCAAAAAACAAAAACAAAAAACAAAACCTTTGAAAATTCTGTAAACCTAAACTCATGTCTACTTGGACAGCAAAAGCACGGTAGTTGTTAGCCATAGGGACTGTGGTAGTTATTTCCTTGTTCTAAGGTTCTAGTTCTTTTCTTTCTAATCCCACTGAAAATTACTGGGGTGGGGGGAAGGGGAAGCAAGGAGCTGAAATCTGAGTAGGTTACCTCCATCTTCATTTATCCAGTAAAGAAAGAGATTCATAGTTCCAGCTTCCGTTATCTGATTATTCTCTCCATAGAGCCATAGAACCTGCTGACACCCGTTATCCATTGCTTCACATTGGGCAAAGAGAGATGAGCCATAATTCCTTTTAAGAAAGAGGAAACATACTGATCATGAATATATGTCAACCCCTACTCCCCATCTTCCATACTAAAATATTCAAGTCTTTAATTCACACGGGTATGTAGTCAATGTACTATGTTTTTAATATGTGTGTATACACTTTCTAGTTTACGGCGTAACATTTAAAGAAAGTCATTAGAGAACCTAAACGATCTAATGGCACTCATCTGAGAGAGCAAAGTGAAATTGTAGAATTCTAACTTGAAAAGTAGAGATGTGAGAACACAGGTAAATAGCCAAGTTAATAACAGTTTAAAGTTATTGTGTTTTTTTCACCTAACAAGCAATATTACATGAATTACTTCATTTAAACCTCACACCAGTACTATGAGTCAGCCCCATGATTATCCCAAAATTCAGATGAGAAACTGAGGCTGAGAAGTAACTTGTATCAAGTTACAGCAATTAAGTAGCAGAACAGCAAGCCTGTGCTCTCTTAACTGAGACCTTTCAATATATCCAAGAAATGCCTATGCCCAATGCCTAAATTCCTCAAAGGTGAGACAGGATGTTAAAAATCCTGATTTTAACCAAAAAAATATTCTGAAAGCCCATTTTTCTCAACCTGCACACCTCATCTTGGATTATTAAAAATCAAAAGAAAATGGTACATCTTTCTGGAATAATATTGGTAATATCTTAAATTTATCTTTTTTTAAAATTAAATAGAAAATTCTGGAGTATATTACAAGGTATGGATAGATATTTAAAATAAAATATGAGAGTCCTCAAATAAATGTAATGCTTGCTTGCCTTCCTCAGCCCCTGGTTCACTTTCCTCAGCCTTTAGAGGACATTTGCAAACAAGTTTGAAAACATTTGCACATAAAAAGCAGGTCTAGGAAATAAACCCTTGACCAACCCTTGGACTATGAAGCCCCAGAAGTACACAGAAACAAGCAGTCAATCAAATATACAACAATAACTACTATAGTCTATGGCCATGTCACCCTGAACAAGCCTGATGTCTGATCTCATGAAGCTAAGCAGGGTCAGGCCTGGTTAGTACTTGGATGGGAGACCACCTTGGAATACCAGGTGCTGTAGGCGTTTAAAAAAATAAAAATAAATAGAAAATCAATAACTACTATCAAGCATCAATGTTAATGTCCACAAAATACTCACCTAGGCCTTTGAAATGATCTCTTTTATGTCTGGGCAAGATTAAAATGTACAGTATTGTCTAAGTAAAAGTGTCAGTTAAGCATAAGAGCCATGTAGTACGATGGCTATCTGCCATTTCTCATCTTTACTACTTCCCTTCCCACTATGTTCGCTGTGGCCCTTCCCATGGAGCAAAGTCATTACACTTGGGTTGACAGTCGTAGCATCTTGCCTTGCACAATTGAATTAAAGGGTGGGCATGTAACCTAAGCTGCTCATGTAAATCCTTCTTTAGTTTATTCACTCATTCATTTTAATCTATGGAATGTGAAAGATGTATTTCCCCCTTAAGAGGTAGTGGCATCTTGTTTGCTAGGATGCAGGGGATCTATTGTGTCCATGATTGCCAGCCTTCACAGAAGGCATCTGAAGTAGGAGAGCCCTCAGCGAACACACAGATGGAAGCTATGACGAGAGATGAGGGGAGGAGGGAACAAGGAAGAAGGGAAGGAAAGCAGGGTGCAGGACACATGAGAGCAAAAGAAACTTGGCAACACGATTTGAGCCCCGAGCTGACCCACTGCTACCACCCTACTAATATGAGCCAATCAATCCGTTTTCTGCTTAAGATGGTTTGAGTTGGTTTTCTGAAATAATATTGACTAATAATCAAAATATTCTAGAAAGCTATGGGAAATAGGCATTAAACTATATGGCGATAGCAACCTGGGGCATGATGACATTTACTCACATCGAGGTAATATAAATTTAAAAGACCTTCAAAATACAGATATTAAAATGTAAAATTTCTGTTAATCTAAAGATGATACCATTCTGGTATATGAAGCTTTTTTATCTGTTTAATAAAATAAGTTAGATAGCCTTTATTTAGAATTGATGGTAAATAGGCAATAAATGAGTTAAATTATGAATACTTTTTAATAATCAGTATAAATCAGACTTTAGTGGGGATCCAGTAGGAAGACTACTGATTTGGGGCCAGGAGGCTTAGGTGCATCTCCTGCACTTCTACTATTGGGCTATTTTGTGAACTTAAGCAAGTCAGTTAATATTTTTGCCTCACTGAATTCATCTGGCAAATAAAAGTACGTGCTTTATATACTACATAGGGCTGTGTGTTAAAAATAAGATAATAACAATAAAAGCTAAGAAACAGATTATATAAGCCTCGTATCCTAGTGAAATTAAGGTTTTTTTTTAAAAAAAAAAACTATTATAATTGACTTTTCTCTAGTTCACAGACACAAGTGTTAAGATTTTACCATATTTGAAATAAATGATTTTCTTTCATATGTAAATCCTCTTGATTAAAAAAAAAAAAGAATTTTCATAGTATGAATTATTTAGCCTTTGAAGAAGCTTCTAAAAACAAACACACATTCTTTTGAGAGGTTGGAAGAATGAAAAACTATAGTTCATTAGCAACGTAAAGCTATTTGGGTAGGAAAGAGAATTAAAAACCTCAACTGTTTCAGCACACTGAAAGGAAAATGAGTTATTATTTGTTTGGTGCTTATTTTATTGATTATGATGTTCTATAGGTGGTGATTTTTCCTAAACACAAGTTTTTCTCAAAATTCTCTCTTAGCTATAAACTGCATTATTAATATTCACACAGTGAGTGATACCACGGTACACGGTTTCCCTCCCACATGCTGCCAATATTCAGAAGAGAAACACATGGCACTGGAGGTAAGAGAAAAATGAAAAAGTGGGAAACTGTATGAAAAAATTTTAATATAATTTCAAATAGAATAAATATCTGGGAGATGAGATATTAAACACATCTCTCCAGAAGAGTAAATTGTATTATGTGAAATCCAACTGATTGTCCTAAGATAGAGTTCAAGAGGTGAAACAAGAAAGAAAGCCTCATAATAACTACAGTCTGTTGAGAGGTTACTACCTGCCAGGCAAGGCAGGGCACTAGGTACATAACCCCATTATTTCATTGAATCATCTTAATGCAACCCTAGATTTGATTATACTTTTGAGGATTTACAGGAAAAGAGGACTTAACTGTGTAAGAGCACACAAATACAAGCACATGGCTCCCAAATATCTCTGACTCCCAAACCCATGCTTTTAACTGCTAGGTTATAATACCACATTTACTGAGAGCTTTCTATATGACCCATGGTCCGAGGCACTTTATATTATCTCACTTAATCCTCAGAGTTATGGTGGGAATTATTACCCTGATTTCATACATGAGGAAACTGAGGCTTAAAGCAGTTAAGTAAGATGAATAAGGTGGTTAGGTTTTTAAGTTTTTTAAGCCAGGTCCTTCTAACTTCAAAACTCGTACTCAAGTGCAGAATGAGAGTGCAAGAGAAAAAGAAAAAAAAATTAAGGTGGGAGGGTGGGCAGGTCTAATTCTTTCCAAATTAACTAAGAACCTAAGAAATTGCTTGGGAACAAAGATGTTCCTATGATGAAAGACTTCATCACAGGGGTCAGAGCCAGCTGTCAAGCTCAGTGCTTCTCAACTCTGGGGGCACATTTTAAAAATTCTGATGCTCAGGAAATATGCCTGACCTAATAAACCAGAATTGCCAGCCGTGGGACCTAGGTATCAGTAGTTGGTAAAGCTCTCCAGGTGGTTTCCGTTTGTAACCACAGGTGAGAACCTCTGAGTAAGAACTTCAGCTGTGTGCCGTTGTATTATTTTTCTCACATATATTTAGAAATAAAAAGATAATATCTTGGATGGCTTCAAAACAGTGGAGTAATATTAGAATATAAAAATGCCTAGGGTGACGTAAGTCCTAAAAAAGGCTTGGAAAGGAAATGTTGAATTAGTTCGGTTTAGAGAATAAGCAATAGTATACAAATCTAAGGTTGCCACCAAATGGCCTCGCCAATTAAATAGGTTGATACTCAACGCAGAATCGTTTGTGTCCTTTGCACTTTTCCAGGTGGGAAGTATAGTAGTAGAGATTTTTAGGATTTCTTGGAAACAATAGGTAAATGGGTTAAAAGTCCATCCTTTTGGATACTGCCTTCCCACTGGCCATTTTTGCTTCTATTTATGAGATTCAATACTTCCTAAGAGATTTTAAGTGAACTTCCATTGATCATGGTCCACTTGAGCTTAATGCATCAAAGTATTTTTTTAAATATACTTTATATTTCAGATCAGTTTTAAGATTACAGAAAAATTGAGCAAAAATTACAGAGTTCCCATATACTCTATTTCCCCACTTCAATTTCCCTTATTATTAACATCTTGTATGAGTGTAATATACTAGTTATAATTGATAAGCCAATGTTGATACAACTAAAGCCCATAGTAATATTAGAGTTCACTCTTAGTGAATATAGAAAATATTAGTTTTTAATTGGCCTATAGTGCTCATGTATTCTGTGATAATGCATTGTATTATCTTTATAATAAGTAACAAACCTGCCCACATACCAAAACTAAAGATTTTCCTGCAATTTCTCAATGTCTGCATGTTATCTTTTCCCTAGGCAGGTAGGGGGAGCTAGAAAGTAAGATTTAAAGAAGGAAAACTATTTTAAATTATTACTTCTTTGTGCATTCTAAGAGAAGTTTAACAAAACACAGATGTTATGCAGTGGTGCATATGAAGAAGTCTTAATGAGTAAAAAAAAAAAATTAAGAGAGTAAACAAAAGTAGTTTCAACCTGGCTAGCCTAGGCCATGGGAAAGAG